AATTTTATACTTCAATTTATTTAATATGTTCAGCTAACAGTCAATTAACAGCTATGACAGATTGAGCTTTGAACATAAAAGTAAAATACTTACCTGTATATTTAACAAGTTTTTAACATATATTTCTATAAAATGTTTTAACAAAATGTATGTATATTTAATATTTCTTTGTATAAATTTCTCTTATCCATTTATATAAAATAATATATTAAATAGACATTTATCAAGTTGAATTATGGTCTAGACTTTAAAAGGTGTGGCAAACAATGTCAATTTTATTCTAACCAATTAAAACAAATTAAATCTTAACATACTACACATAGTTTAAAACAATTATAATTTTATATAATTTAATGAAATGATGAAAAAAATTTAACTAATATTATCATATTTTTAATTATAAATTATCATTTTATTATTACCTATTTATCTGTACAAGATTTAGTAGAATGGTGCTAGAAATTGTATAGTATGACTGCTTTCTTTCATTATAATTTATTTTTTGGTATAACTGAAGGAAAATTGCTACAATTCTACTACAAAAACTAATTTATAATTTTTGAAGAAAAATGTGAATGTTTCGAAGATGTACCGAGTAATTCAATTTTATTGTGAGAAGCAGTCAGCTCCTTTTATAATTTAGATGGATAGGTATATAATCAGTGTACTTGTATGCAGCTTTGAAAAACAAATACATGCAAGTGTAGGAATATTGAAATAGTATGCAATTCCAAGTGCCATTCTACTAAATCTTATATGGATAAATAGCTATTTTAAAATAGTATAATGTTATATATACTTGCAATGTTGCAATAAAAATATATTTTAGATTCAAAGTGAAGTGAGGAAAGTTTTTAAATAAGATAAAGTGCTCTAGATGTAGGTTGTGTAAAGGTTTATATCAATTTTAGTAGGTACTTTGAACAGAAGGGTTTTCAAATTTTTATATTAGATAGTTTCAATAATAATATTAAATTAAGGTATCTTATAATATATAAGTATCTTTCAATCTTACATGTAAGATGGAATGGTCAAGTGGACTAAGGTTAGGTTAGGTAAGACTCGACAGTTCTTACGCTCACCATTGCCAGTTCGAATCCTGGCCACGGGCAGTATCTCACTATGAACTATCCCACAACTGGGYATGGCAGAAATCTACAGGTGCCCAATTAGAAATTTTGCCAGATAGGCATTCAAACTAAGCTTTTGGATCTATGTCTAACCAGACATAGCGCCATATGCATAAAAAAATAGTAGGTATACGCATTCTTATAAACTATAACTGTTCTATATTAGATTTGTAGATAAAATTAATAAATTAAAGATGGTGATGTTCTAACTACGCTCCAATCGAAATTGTTTTTAAAAGAGTTTTATTTAAAATAAAAATTTTTTCCTCAATAATAATTATAAATTAGATATGTATCTGACAAAAATAAAATTATAAAATTAATACATTCTTGCCAATTATTAATAACTTAAAATTGTACATTTTTTACATGTGGTCCATAAGTTCATTTTGAATAAATGTTGGTTTAATATTTTTAATTATCAAAACTCATCAGTCGAGAATGTTCAGGGTATTAAAATCTATGCATTAACATTTTAAAGCTGTACATCACAATATCACATTAACATTGGAAATTCACACCATTATATATATATATATACTGTAACCACAACTTAATTAATTATTAGAAAATGTATTCTCAAATATTACAATATTGAATTATTTTTATGATAGTTGATTCGTGGTCAAAAACCTATGTATACTACTAGTCCAACTACAACTGATAGTCCATCATGTAGTGTGGTAGAAARTGAGGTCCAAAAATCTCATACCCAACAAGATGGATATCCTGATGATAGTAAATATATTTTTTAAATTTAATATTATTCATCAATAATTTTTATTTGTCTCTAATAACTATTTTTTTTCATATGAAGAAGAATATAAATCAAATATTTTTTATTATTTGATGGATGTTCTAAGTACTGTGTCACAATTTATTACCCGCACCTCATATATTGGCACCAATATTGTAATGATGGTAAGTTATTTATATTTATGGATTATTTTATGTGTTAATTTATATGTTTGTGGATTTAAATAACAGGCTTGGAGTATTACATACCACAGTTGGTTAACATTTGTATTGTTATTATGGGCTAGTATTTCATGGATGGTTCCTCAACAAAGAAAAACAATGTTAAGATCATCACCATTTTTAGTATTCTATGCAGAATTTTTACTGTTATCGCAATTCTTATACGGAATGAATTTAAATGACTCCGAATTACCTCAAACCATTCAAGATTGGAATTTAGAACAAATAGGCTTCACCAAAGTTCTTCATTTCCCTTGCAAACCTTTAATCATAAAAGTAATGTGTTTTTTATATCTATCAATTTGTTTGTCGATATAAATATTTAATTTAAATTTAAGCTAATTTATTGGTTTTCAATAATCATAGACATTATTTACAACAATGTTCTGGATAACAATGAGACAATATATGCAAGAAAGGAGAGAAGCTAGAAGTCATTCGGCTGTAGCTAATATGATTGCTCCTCTTCAAGTTACAGTGGGAACAGCAACAGGTAGAACTATACTTTTATAATCAATATATCCATAAATCAAAATTATTATATTGTATGTTTTTCTATTAACTAACAAAATGTTTTATTTTTGTTTAATGGCTTAAGTTAATGTTTAAGCTATAATTCTTTTTTTTTATCACGTTTTAGCTATGGGAGGTGATTCAGGCACAAAAGGCAGTCAATTAATGCAGAGACTTGGTGAAGAAGCTAAAATAATTCTAACTAAATTCTGGATATGGGTTGTGGCATTTGTTTTGTTTGGAATTGGCATAACTGGTGAACGGATGACAATATTCCGAATAATTTATATGGCTTTGGCGTTAATATTTTTATTAACATTTCAAGTAAACATTTTATTTTTACAGTTTCTCACAAAGATTTTCCAATTATGTGTTAATGACATTATTTAAACACCTTTTTTAATTTAAAAGATCTTGGTGGATACTTCTAATATCTCTGTGCATTATTTTTTTTGTAATATTGAAACTATTTAAATATTGTTTGTAATAGTTATCTTGGGTTTTGTGGAGGAAAATTATGTATGGTTTTTGGCTTACTGTCATAATTTATTCAATGCTGATATTAGTTATGACCTATACATATCAGTTTGATAATTTTCCATACTACTGGGAAAAATATTTGAAAATACCTCCCACGTTGTAAGTTAATTAATTGGATATCAAAAATAAGTTTATCAATTAAATGTTTTATGTTCATTTTTAGACAATTAGATATAGGTTTGGAAAAATTTGAAACTGGTGAGCTGTTTGTAAGACTTCTGACTCCTACATTTTTTGTTATCATAACTGTTGTTCAACTTTACTATTTTCATAAAGATTTTTTGGCTATTTCTGATATAAAAAGCCGGTTTGTTGTATTTATACTTTTAAGTTCTATTCTCAAAATTATAATTTTATTAACCAATATTTTTATACAAACAAAAATCTTACAGAGGTACTAGTATTGTCAAACCATCTAAACCAGGTTCTTCTGGTTCAGATAGTGACAAAGAATCAACAAATTCTAGCATTTCACTTACAGACAATAAATATCAAAAACATCCTCCACGTCCAAGCTTTATATCTGAAAGAAAATCTTTCAAAGTCTTCAAAAGTAATTTTTTTATTTTGTTTTTCCAGTAAAACCTGTGATTAATATTAATTTATTTCTTTGGTTTCAGATCTACCAAAGGTCAAATTACGCTCATTTTTTAAGATGCTTAAAACAATTATGTCATATATAATTGAGCTTGCATGGCTATATGCCGAATTACACATGATTAAAATTATATTGTTGTGTGTCATGTTTTTGGCTGTATATGAGGTAAACAGTGGTATTATTTTAAAATACTGTATAATTGTACAGTTAAATTTACATTTTTTATAATTTATTAATTGCTATATTAGGTGTGTTTGGTTCATTTTGTGTTGGTTGTATTGGTGACTATTTCATTAGTATTTAATAGCCGTATACAGTCAATTATTGTTTATATTATTTCTGTGTATGTATCTATATTGTTACTTACCAAAATGATTTATCAAATTGAATATATACGAGAGGGTACATGGAATGTCACATGTCCAGTATGTATTATAATTTGAATACAATTATATAATTTTATACAGTTAAAATGTTGTTTAATGTTGTTTAAGGACCCTCATGATCCAGATAAAATGAAAGGTTATAATACTGCAAATTGGGTTGGATTTAAAAAGTCTACAGCTAATGTCTCATTACTCAATTTACTAAAAGGATATATTTGTAAGTATTTAAAGCATGTACATAATATCTATTAAAATTGTATAACTATTGATATTAATTCTCATAAAATATATCCATATTTTTACAGCTATAGTTTTTGTCATCACATTGCATAGAGTTGTAATCACTCGGCAAAAATATAAAAGACATTTAAAAGGTAGACCATTGGCTAAACCTTTAAGGATGTTTCCAGGTATTACATTTAAAGATGTTGACCATGACATACCTCATTGTCTTAAGTATTTGTTGAATTTTGGATTTTATCGATTTGGTGTTGAGGTATTGTTTTATATAATTAGATATTTAGTACTTTTATTAATTTTATTAGTTATGGCATATAAGTAGAAATTTAATGTTTGTTTATTTTTCTTAAATTTTTTATGAGTTACCTTTTATATTTCCATATTTTATTTCTAGATTACTCTTATTGCTGTAGCAGTATTAGTTGGAACCAGAATGGACTTTTACGCAGTACTGTATGCATTATGGTTAATGACTTTTGTAATGTTGTCAAGGGGAACTTTAGCAAAAGTGTGGATAATTTTTATGTTTTTTGTTGTCATCACTATACCATTGCAATATGCTATTGTGATTGGACTTCCTCCAGATCTTTGTTTACGTGAGTAATAATTCCAAAAATATACATTAGATAGATTTTCTAAATTTTAAAATAAATAATGTTTTGGTAAAAGTCAAAAATKTTAACCAATCGAGTAATATTTTCTCCCTATTTTATGCTAACTCAAATAAATAAATAAATAATTCCATATTAGATGCATAAATTTMTAATAAAATTATTATTATACTATGTGTCCTGTCAAGAAATAAATAGCYGGCGATTTTTGATAATATGCCTTAAGTTTTAAAAAAACAAAATTAAAAAACATGGCCAAGTTGCATAAAAAATCTTTAATCGATCAAAGAAATCTTAATTCAATAAATAAAATTAAGTTGATTAAAAAATCTAATTTGAATTAAAAAATTTGAAATTCATATAAAATCCAAGTTGAATAGAAAAAAAAAGCCCCTTGAAACAGTCAGTTGAATGAAAATCGAACAAAAAAATTAGATTTTTAGATTTTTATTCAACTCTGCCTTTCAACATTAGTTGTTTTGGTGGGGGAGGGGGCTTCACGTACGTTAAAACTGTAGTAAATATGATATTTAGTGGTTGCACGAGATTTCCTTTCAAAAATGCTAATTTTGTTAAAAAAATGTTATGTTATAAATACCTACTATATAATAAAAATTATTTAAATTTTTCACTTATCATATTTTTTTTTTTAAGTTAAGTTTTCTAAATTATTTTAAAAGGAAAATCACCCATAAAAAAAAWTATAGGGAATAWTAATAATGTTTTCAAGGTTATGACATATTGATTTGTCTAAAAAGAGTTTAATATTCATTTAAGTTAAATAAATTGTTTTTTATTTTAAAAGTCAAATGATATAATATAAAATTAACAGGTCAAATTATCAACATTTTACCCTTTATAATTTATGTGTCAGCTCAACTTACTCTAAGATTACTCAAACATTATAAAAAGGATGTTTCATGAATGTGTTTTATCTATGTTGCGTGTTGGTTTGAGAGTAAAAACAAGTATTATGTTGATGCCTTCGTCCTAATTTTATTACTTGTGGTTGTGTGGGCTGTATTACAGATAGCTTATTAATAAATTATAACTATTATAATCTATCTATAGATGGAAACRATCGTTTTGTAACCAGTTATTGGATTCATTAATGACTTTATGAATTGAGTATTATTATGGCTGTAGAAAACAAATTCAACTTATGTTTGTTTACTTTTCTCTCATTTTAATTTTRTGTATTAACAATCCATACAATTTTGTATGAATGTTTCCACTATTATCCTCTAGTCAGTGTTCACATTTCTTATTTGTCCATTATAACTTCTATTTTATCTATTACAGAATGGCCATGGGATGAAAATGAAATTATGAAGAATTTCCGTGACTGGATGTTCTTACCAGACCCTGATTCCCCACCAGATGCATATAAATTATTATGTAAGACAAATTAATATAAATTATAATAATATATAATGCATTATGCTTATTTTATCCTATAAAATGAAATATCTATAGTATACATATAATATAAAATATTATAATTTTTAAGGTTTTAATTAAAAAATGTTTGTATTTTTTTAAGGTGATTTTATTGTGTTATTATTTGTATCTCGCCAATCTATTGTCTTCAAAATAGAAAGAAGACATATAGATGTGGAATATCCAGGAGGAACAAATCGTTCAATTATTGAGGAAGCTGAAAAACCCAGTTTTATAAATCCTGTTCCTGATTTTGTATCTCACATAAGGTAATTTTAAGATATAGAACATTAAAAAATATTTTATGTTTTGTTTGCTTGTAAATAATTTTATTATGTTCATAATTATATATATTTTTAGATCATGGCTTGATATTTTAAAACGTATTGTTCTCATTGGATTTATTTGGTTTACATTAGCAATTGTGTTTTTAGCCGGTACCAATAGAGTTAATCTATTTTCTCTTGGATATCTAATAGKGTCTTTTATATTTTTATGGCAAGGCAACGATTATTATCTTCGACCTGTAAATGTTATTCTTAAATGGTACTGAATTCATTTTATTTTAAAATTAAATTTGTATAATATTTTTATTACTGAACAACAATTTTCATATAGGTGGAATAAATTAATACTTTATAATATTACTGTTATTACCTTGAAAGCTATACTCCAAATACCTGGATGTATTTTTATGAATTATATGAAAATGAAAGCTTGTTGGATGATTCAACTATTTGGTATTTCTTGTATTCAAAAGTTTTCTACTAACCATCCAGTTACAACGTCATCAGGTATTTAAAATAAATTTTAGTTTTATTTATTTGAAAATATGTTGATGTTGCTTTTGAAATGTTGATAAAAAGCTTAAATTAAAATCATTTTGTGTATTAATTTTGAAATCTTGTCTTTCAGACAATGATGATTGTGAAATACCAGTTGAGCATGTTGGCCTAGCATGGGATATTTTATGCTTTGGGTTTTTAATCTTTCAAAGACGTCTTTTTAACAGCCATTACTTCTTTAGAATTGTGGATGAAACAAAAGCAATGGCTATATTAGCCTCTAGGTAATCAATATTTATTATTGCATTTTATTTGTGTAAAATATGCATGAATTATTATAAAACATTTAATTGATAAATTAAATAAATAAATAAATTAGGTTTAAGGTTAATTAAATTTGTATTTTAAAAATACAAAATATAATTACTTTTAAAAATATTTGAAAAGAACATAAACATAGTATCATAATAATATATAAATAATATAATATAATACAAATTATTTTAAATAATATTATTCTTACCAAATATTATCAAAATTATTTTCTATTAATCTCAATTAAAATTTAATATAATTAGAGGAGCTGAATTAATTCAAGAACTTTCACAAAAACGAATCCAAGAACAGCATGAATCAGAAAGAAAGGTTCTGGAAAAAATCAAATCAAAAATGGACCGAATCAAAGCTACTCAAAAGAAAATTCAAGGTTTTGGAATCAAGGATCCGGAATCTCACGAAAAAGGTATGATGATGTAATTTTAATCTTTCTATAATCAAATAACTTAATTTTGATCAAGAACTTACCTATATAAATAGCTATTAAAACATACATCAAGCAGGTAAAATGCATATGTATTAAATTCTAAGTGTGACCATCATTTGAATATAGTTTTATTATAATAGTATTAATAAATCTCCTTGGAAGTTGTATTAATTCTTTAGAAGTTAGAAGTATAATAATATTATTATTTTTAATGTTCATGTGGAATGATATAACATTTAACTGAGGTACATCCATGAAAATGTGGAGATTTTTTTATTTTAATCTATTTTATAGTTTAAAATTTATCATGAAAATCTAATAAAAAGTTAGTTATTATAAAAAATACTAATTATAAATATACATAATATAGTAGTGTATTGATTGGAGTTAAAAGAAATAAATAACAATTGTATGGGCCTGTGTGATGAATGTTTGACAATTTATACATATAGTTGGTTTATAAAAAAAAAGTTGCCAAGTATATTATAATGTAGCAAGGTACTTAGTCTTGATAGATTAATTGATTTTTTCTTGGTTTACTATCTGATTTTGATTTGATTTTAAGTGGTGTGTGAAATATTAATTGTGGTGCTGTGATTCAGTGCAAGATACCACACAGATTTTTTTTTTWAATTTTAATGCTATTTTTTTGCTTGGAAAATGCATCATAACTCTTTGATTTGACTAAACATTTTCTAAAATCTATAATAATATAAGATCATTGTATGAATTTTTCGCTGCTCACATATGGGAAATTAAAATACAAACAAAAAACTGTCCATCTCAACGAGAACAGCCGAAGAAACTGCGTTCGCCCCCTTAGCCCGCGATCTGTCGGGCAGTTCGATCCTCCAGAGTTTTCACACGCCACTTGAAGATGAACCACCCACACTTTCTTACCTGCAACCGCCAACGCCCACGTCCACTGTCCTGACTGTATCGTTGGATGGTTACCTTGATCCGCAGCGAATTTCGTTCAGTAGCACCACGCACCGACGGCCGCTGTCGTTTGACGAAAGTGCCATTTATTCTGGTGTATTTTCACCACCACCAACAATCACGCAACACCGACGTCAGTCCTCATTGGGTGTTCCATCTACCTGGTATCCGCGCAAACGGTCGGCCTCAGCAACATCTCATCATACTTGTGTGTACTCATTTTCTGCTAATGCGTGTTGTTTGCACATTCTATAAATATTATACATACTATTTTATAATAAATACCTATATCGGTATATGAGCAATTTTCTTATGCGTGTATATATATTTTTGTATATAGCTGTACATATTATTTTGGCTTAAAATATCTTAATATTTTATTAAGTAATTGTTTAATATAAGTATAATTGGTCTTGCCTTGGTATGGTTGGTGTGATTGTTCCCATACATTTGTATCATTATTTAGAACTGTTTTGATTTKATTGAACTATTTTCATGTGTAGGTAGGTATACATTATCTGTAACAATGTAATACATTTATAATATTCTATATAAGCGAGTTTTATAACATTTATGAAACACTACTATAGGAAAATACATAAATAATATAATGTGTTAAAACCTTAYCATCAGTGATATGACTCAATTAGAATTCTTCTTTTTGTAAGTAATAATAACAATATCTAATTGCGTTAGACAATCTCATAATTGGCTAATTGTGGTTTGCAAAAATTAGTCTCAACTAAATCATGCAAAGTTAAAAATATTTAAAGAATTATTAAATAACATGATTTTTTTTTGTATTTTATTTAAGCAAAGCAGTCTTGACATTTATAATTACAAATTCTACTTAACAGCATATTGCATATAATTTAGTTTTATTAATTAAACATTTATCTTTGCGATACTATTTTGTGAAACCATATGGGATGTTTATACTGTTGTGCCTGTTGCTGTCTGTAAACTTATCTCTCTACAAAGCTTGATAATTAGTTTKAGACTAAGATTATTTTAGGTATTTATTTAACGCATAGTAATTTTTATCATTGCATAAAATATCATAATTAACGGTAACATGCACACGTATTATATATATATTATTCATTAAGAGGATGCCACTCCCCCATGTGTTTTGTCAGTCTTACAAGTGTGTA